TTTTATTTCAAAGACCTCTCCTCTCTACTCCGTTAGTATGTTAGCGATATATATATATATATATGTGGCCGCAGGCTAGAGATTAAGTGTTGAACAAGTGTCTACAGCAGGAGTGCTTATAGTACAGGTACTTCGGTATGCATGCAATTGGGGCTGGCTTGCAGAATTAGCTGCACCGAGTTGCATTGCTGCACTAATGCTTGTTAGAAAGAAGGGGGGAATAAATTGCTCAGAGACGCAGACACTGCAGCATACGCAGCTATTCTATCATATGCAGATACACCAGAGCATACAGACACACCAGCGCATGCGGCTGCTGCAGCATACGCAGCTGCTTAACAGTAACCAAGTGCTGATTGAGTGTTGAACAAGTGTCTACAGCAAGAGTGCATATAGTACAGGTGCTTCGGCATGCATGCAATTGGGGCTGGCTTGCAGAATTAGCTGCACCGAGTTGCATTGCTGCACTAATGCTTGTTAGAAAGAAGGGGGGAATAAATTGCTCAGAGACGCAGACACTGCAGCATACGCAGCTATTCTATCATATGCAGATACACCAGAGCATACAGACACACCAGCGCATGCGGCTGCTGCAGCATACGCAGCTGCTTAACAGTAACCAAGTGCTGCAGCACATGCAGCAGGTGCTACATCATACGCAGCTACTGCAGCGCATGCAAATGCTGCTGCACATGAAGCTGCTACGGCGCAGGAGATTGCTGCAGCTGCTGTAGGTACTGCAGCACATGCAGCTGCTGCAGCGCATGCAATTGCTGCAGCTGCTACAGCTACTACAGCATACTCAGCTTCTGCATCTGCCGCTGGCATTGCAGCACATGCAGCTGCTGCAGCAGACACAGGTACTGCAGCGCATTCCGTTGCTGCATCGCATGCAGCTGCTGCAGCGCATGTAATTGCAACAGGCGCTGCAGCTACAGCAGCACATAAAGCAACTGCAGCGCATGCAATTGCTGCTGCTGCTGCTGCAGCTAGCCCAGTAAGCGGTTGAGAGGAACCAGTTGGGGCTGCTGTGGGGCTGGCTGCAGAAGGTGAGAGCATATTGTTGTCTTCTCTGCATGTTTTTTCGATTAATTTTCAACTAAAAAATAAATAAATAAAGTTTAAAACATTAAAAGAAGAAGACGCAGTTAAATTAGCTGCTGGGAGCCCTGCTTAGAGTGCAGCAGCTTCCTTCTTCTTTCTTATCCTTTCCCCACAAGCAGTTTGATAAGAATCTTTTGTATAAAAAAGATATTTTTAATTGTTTATTTTATACTTTTTCTGTTTTTACTTCATTTTATCTTCCTTTTTTGTTGTTTATTTGCAAGAAAATGACTGCAGATAAAGAGATAAACCCCAAAGCATATCCCCTTGCCTCTCCAGAGCTAACTAATACTATCTTAGATACAGTGCAGCAAGCTTGCAGCTATAAGCAGCTTAAGAAGGGTGCTAATGAAGGTAAGAAACCTGCTGCAGCAAATCCCTGCTGCTGCTGCTGCTGCTGCTGCTGCTGCTGCTGCTGTGGCAGTAGCAGCAGCAAATTCATGCTGCAGCAAGCTGCAGCACAGGCTCATCCACAGACACAAACACTGCAGCTCCAACAGGCATCTTTCAGCAGCAGCAACAGCAGCAGCTATATTTGCAGCAGCAGCTACATAAGCAGCAGCAGCAGAATCAATATTGCGTGCATCAGCAGCAGCATCTTTCTCGCTGCAGCTGCTTCTGGATCAGTAGGACAGCAACAACGCGCGCATCAGCAGCAGCAGCTGCTGCTGCTGTTGCTGCTGCTGCTGCTACAGGACTTTGAGGAAGGGAAGCATGTGCTTTGTTTTTTGTTGCGCTGCAGCAACAAAAGGTTTAAGCAGAGGGCTGGCGGAGTTGGTTGTGCTGGCAGCAGATGCAGAGCCGCTAGAGATTCTGCTGCACCTTCCCTTAGTTTGCGAAGACAAAGTAAGATATAAAATAAATAAATAAATAAATAAATAAATTAATTAATTAATTAATTAAATTAAATAAATAGCAGAGCATTCAGGTGTACATGCACAACACAGGGAGAGAAAGGAGGGGAGGTAGAGCTGGAGCAGCAAGCTGCTGCTCATGCTGCTGCTGTTGCTGCAGCTTCTGCTGCTTATGCTTCTGCACGTGATGTATATGCCCCTGCTGCTGCAGCAGTAGCAGCAGCTACTTGTGCTGCTGCAGCTGCTTTATGTGCGGTCCCTGCTGCTGCAGCTTCTGCTTCTACTAATGCTCGTGCCGCCTCTCGCGCTGCCCCACTGCTCATGCTGCTGCTGCTGCTGCTGCTGCTGCGTGCAGAACGTTCCTTATGTCTTTGTGGAGTCTAAGGTGGCCTTAGGAAGGGCTTGCGGTGTCTCTCGGCCTGTCATCGCTTGCTGCATAACCAGCAAAGACGGCAGCGCACTCAACCCCCAAATAGCAGAGCTGAAGAACAGCATAGAAGCTATGCTTATCTAAATTGCTGCACCAGCAGCAGCAGCAGCAGTGTTGCTGCTGCAGCAGATTCTGCTGCGGTTGCGGTGGCGGAGGGTGGGAAGGCCCAGAGGACAGCAGTGGAGCGATACAGGAGGTTCAGCAGCTGCTGCAGCAGCACGTGCTGCTGCTGCTGCAGCAGGAATACTGGTACAAGGAGGGATACGCTGCTGCTGCAGCAACTGTAGCTGCTGCACTAGCAGCAGCAGCACGGGCGTCTTTGGAATTTTTGGCGATTGCTGTTGACCAGCAGCAGCAGTAACAGCAACAGCAGCAGCAGCAACAACAGCAGCAGCAGCAGAGGCTCCAGGGGGCAGTTCCTTGGGGTTTCTCTGGCTGCTGCTGCTCCTGCTGCTGCTGCTGCAGCAACTTCTTTGCTTGGAGGCATTTCGACTTGCTAGTGTCTAAGGCGTACAACTAGGATAAGGGTTTAGGGTTTAGAAGGGTTTAGCTGCATACTCATGTCCTAGGGTTTAGGGTTTGGAAGGGTTTGTTAGGCCTAGGGTTTAGGGTTTAGACTTAGGGTTAAGGGTTTAGACTAGGGTTTAGGGTTTAGAGGGGTTTAGTAGACCTAGGGTTTAAAGAAGAAATTAAAAGGGCTTCGCGCTCATTTGGGTGTACGTCCATCAAGCAACTGCAGCAGTTGCTGCTGCTGCTGCTGTTGCTGCTGTTGTTGCTGCTGCGGCTGCTGCGCGCCACAGCCAGCACACTACTGCAGCAAAGCGAACAACTTGCTGCAGCAAACGACCTTCAACAGCAGCAGCAGCAGCAGCAGTAGTGGGCCACGGCATCAAACACATTGCAGCACCAACAGCATCAAGCTGCAGCAGCAAGCTGCTGCAGCAGCAGCGAGTTGATGCTGCTTTCTACTAGTGGTGCTGCAGAAGAGAGTCCCTGCTGAGGTGTACATACACCCCACACTGCGCAATGGCGGGTTGG